ACAAGGGTACTTCAAAAGGTTTGTGGAAAAATGGAATTAAAAGATAATAGCAATCTTTCCACGAACTTTTTTGAAAATAATGATTCAAATATTTCTCCCCACTAGTCACTTGTTTCCTTTTAAAAAAAAATTATTTATTTTACTTTGTCAAAGTTTATATCATTTTTATCCTATTCTGTAGGCATAATTCTCACAGTTGTCAAGGACTAGTTCTATATTTAAAGAATTAAATCTTCATTCTCAGTGCTTTTACCAGGATTCTTCTTGAGTTATTTTATCTTTTTGTTGGCTTAAATTTACTATTAAGTTGATGTTTTTTAAGAAGAGCTCAGAGATGTTATATTCCCTGAGGTTTTGCATATTGGATAATGTCTATTGACTTTAGACTTGAACAGTAACCTGGCTAAGTTTAATATTTTTCGGTCAGGTTTTCTTTAGGACTTGCTAGAGGGTAGCCCACAACCTATATAAGTCTGAAGAAAAGTTTTATTTGGCACACACATCACTTAAAAATATTTAATCCACATTGGTAAACCACTAGCAAGACTGATCAGGCAAAAAACAAAGATGACCCAAGTTACCAATATCAGGAATGAGAGAAGTGACATTGCCACAAATTCTGGAGATACTAAAAAGATAATGGTGTATATTACAAACTTTATAGCAGTAAGTTTAACAACTCACATAAAATAGATAAATTCATTGAAAGACACAAACTACCAAAATTTGCCCAGGAAGACAGAAAAAACCTGAATTGCATTATCTATTAAAGAATTTGAATGTGTTGTTCAAAACCTCCTACAAATAACAAATTCCTTCCTCCAATGGATTAATTGGTAAGTTCTATTAAATGTTTGAAAGTGAAATAATACCATTACTATTCAAACTCTTCCAGAAAATTGAAATTTCCCAACTCATTCAATGAGGCTAGTATTACTCTGACACCAAAACCTGAAAATGATATTATCAGAAAACTACAGAGCAATATCCTTCATGAGCATACATGCAAAAACTCCAAACAAAATCTTAGCGAATATATAAAAAATATATATTTGATACACAAAAATATATTTTATACAATATATAAAAAGGATATCACGACCAGGTGGAGTTTATCCCAGAAATGGAATTTATCCCAGGTTGGTTTAACACTTTAAACTCAATGTAATTCATCATATTAACAAAGTAAAAAGAAAAACCATACAATCATCTCAATAGCTGCAGAGAAAGCACTGGACAAAAACCAATATCCAATCCTAATAAAAACTTCTAGCAAATGAGAAATAGAGGGAACTTCCTCAACATGCATGGTATAGGGCATCTAAGAAAAGCCTATGACCAACGTCATACTTAAAGACTGCATGCTTTCCCCTTATATGAGGAACAAGACAAAGGATGTCTGCTCTCACCACTTGTATTTGACACTGTACTGGAGGCTCTAGTTGGAGCAAAAAGGAAAGAAAAAGATATAAAAAAGCATTAGATCAGAAAGAGAAAAGTAAAACTGTCTCTATCCTCCAGGTAGAAAATGTTAGAAGCTATAAAAAAGCTCCTAGAATAAGAGAGTTTAGCAAAGTTTCAGGAAATAAGATCAATATTAAAAAATTGATTGCATTTCTATGTAATGGTAATGAATAATCTGAAATTAAAATTTAAAAATACCATTTGTAGTACAATCAAAAAATATGAAATACTGGGCTGAGCCCGTGGCGCACTCGGGAGAGTGCGGCGCTGGGAGCGCAGCAGCGCTCC